CTGAGTTCCACGCTGCCTGGCTGTTTGGTTTCCACCCTGCATTTTCCTGCACGGTGTGGTGTTGGCATGTGTTGTTGAATAGAAAAGGAGACCATTGTGAATTCTTGCACTTCAAATGATCAACATGGGTGCTCTTTGCAGCACTGGGACATGTTCATCGCTTGGCAGTGGAAGAATTTGATTTTCAACCACGCCTCATCCAAAAGTGTGGTGTAAGTGGGTACTTATTCAGCACCATTAAGGTTCTTTGCCGGCATGCCAGTCATAGTGTGATGCGTGTTCAAAGTGTGTGTGTGTGTGTGTTTGTGCCCTTAGCCTCAAGATTTTCAAGGTCTCAGGCATTCAAACCGATATTCTGAACTTCTTCAATTTGTTTTTGGTTTCCGAAAGCACATTCCCAGGCAAAAGGCGGACTCATGCTGCATTTCCTGGAGTTCCTGGGGGCCGGGCCCCTCAGAGCGCCAGTGAAGGAAAGAGAGACAGAGACCTAGGCAAGAAAGAATGTTTAAGTGTCATGCTGCTTGGAACACAGAAAGAACATGAAAAACAATGTAAATCTACTCTTTGTAAAACATTTTTCAAGTTTCAACAAGCTGAACTCTTGCATTCAGTGCAGTGCATGTCCTGTTTTGCTTGCGCGTTCTATGTTCTTTCTGGTGCTGAACAAGTACCAGAAAGAACATAGATGTCCTGCTTGCGTGTTCTATGTTCTTTCTGATGCTGAACAAGTACCAGAGAGAACATAGAACATGCCAGCAAAACAGGACAAGTACCAGTACATGAAACTAGTGCCAATTTGGTTTCCGAAGCTTTGGGGATCAATACATTCATCATACAACGATGATTAGTCAGGAGTAGCAACATTCATCATCACCATAATCACCATCCTCGTCATCAATCATCATCATCATCATCATCAGCAACAGCAGCACTGTTATTGTCATCGTTGTTGTCATCATCATCATCATCAGAAGCATCATCAGCAGCAGCACCGTCGTTGCCATCATCGTCATCGTTGTTGTCATCATCGTCGTCATCATCATCAGCATCGTGATCATCGACCTCAATATCAACAATATCAACAACATTAGAAAAATCCTCGTGAATGATTCACTGTCCATTGTCATTGACACTGTTTAGGATCATGGCATCATCATCCGCATCCGCGCCCATGAAGCCAACAAGCAAGGCACCCGCCCCGAGCCCAACGCCACCACCAAACCCTCAGCCCCTGCCAATCGGCAGACAGCAACCAGCTCAGAAGCAGCCACCAGGAGCTGGTCAAGGCAGTCAGGGCAAGGGTGCGCAGGGACACAAGAACAACCCGAGTCAAGAACGCCGTGAAGAGATGGCGTGGCTCAAACAACAGAACAAGCTGCTGCACAAGAGAATCTCTGAGATGAAGGTGAGGAAAGAGAACGATCTCCGCAAGGCAGGAATTCGCTTTAAGCTGTGTCGCGCGTGCCTTCAAACAGGTGCTGAACAAGTACCTTTGAAAATGAATCGTCAGAGATCATAACGTAAGTCAATGTATTTTGAAACAGGTGCTGAGGAAGTACCTTCAGGATCCATTGACTTACTCGACTTGCCCTGACGATTGATTTTCAATGTATATATATATATGTAAATCGAACATGCTTTGTGCAATTTGTGGACAGGACGTCCAGCAGCTGACCAAGAAGGTGGCGGACATGGAGGCCATCATGAGAAAGGGCTTCGGTTCCATCCTCTGCTGCCTGGAGGACTGGTTGCTATTAATTATTGTTTCTATTGATTGCAGGCACATTTGTGAATTTGAACAAGTTTTGACAATATCCTGCGCAGAAAGCAGTGAAGAGGGGAGAAGAAGCAGAGGTCCCGTTGCTTCATGGTGCGTTGTTCATGATACTAGGATGGCGTCGCTGCTTGCCTCTTACCCTGGTTGGACTCAGGCTGAAGAGGAGAAGAAGCTGGAGCAGCTGGAAAAGAAGATCGAAAAGATGCAGAAAAGAGAGGAGAGCCTTTAATTGCATGTGTTTATTCGCCTTCCAGGTCATGGTCCAATCACTACCCTTGTGCTTTGAGTAGATTCCTGTCAGGAATCGAAGAAAGCTCGGAAGAGAGCAGCTGAGGACCAGTTAACGCACAGTGTGCATGTTATAGATTCTCAATATGTCTTGTTTTGCTGTAGTGCGCAGCCTTGCCCCAGGAGCCGCCAGAGAAGGCCGTGGAGAAAGCGCAGAAAAGATCTCAGAAAGCCGCCCACTCAGCGCGCAGGGCGCCATTCTGGAAGCGTGAAAGTTTGCTTCGAGAAAGCCAGGCTCCAAAGGGTGCAGCACCAAAGACGGCCGCAGGCGCTGGTTGCAGCAATAAACAAATACATGTGTGTTCCACATATGGCAGGCAGCAAGCCATCGTCATCCGACTCATCACCCGGGCGATCGAAGTGAGCCCGCGTGCAAAAATGCCCACGCTGCTACATCCCAATGTCAACGGTGCGTTACAACCCCGAAAGCGGGGTGCTTTTTGTTTGCTTGCTTCCTCCATGTCACAGCTTGACTGATTGAGGCTTGTACCATGCCAAGCTCCAGTGTCAGTAACCAAGAGTCTTTATTTGACACTTTCTTGAAGTAATGCACAGGTGCTGAACAAGTACCTTCTTTTTGCTTTCAATCAGAATTGGACAGAGGGGTGCTGAATAAGTACCTCCTTTGTTCCAAATCTGCAAATTGTCTTTACAATATAGTTAGTTAGTTCTCAGTTCTTCAACCCTGGCTGGTTTGCACTTGCAATTGAGGCACCGGCACGTTCAATGATGCGCTGATGCTGGAGCTGTCCTGCAGGACTCTGCCGCGCCAAGAATTTGAAGAAAAAATGAACAAAAGAAACGATATTGTTTGTATCCTGGTACTTATTCAGCACCATGTAACTAGTACTGCAGTATGAAATGTACACGCAGGATACCTGTTATCGGCTTGGCTGAACCTTCAGGCCCTGGTGACCAGGTCAAACATCAAAATCACAGCTTCATCCATCTACATCCTTTAACAATGCCTTACAAACTGTTCTGGCAAACAGCAAACAGAAAAGGTTTTGTGGTAGAATGAGGCTCTGTTTTTGGAATGCCACTGAATGCTGTAGTTGAGTTTCATTTTACTTAGAAGGCCCTGCCCCAATTCATTCGCTGCACCAACTTGAGGGTGGGACGGTTGACATAGTCGATCACCCCACTCGCAAAGTGTTGTTTTGTTGGTGTATGTCTTGTGAAGAAAACATTATGTTACATTCTCAGGCCAGCCTATGATCAACATCGGTACTGGTGCAGCACTGCGACATGTTGATCATGGATGCCTGAGAATTCTTTTTGCCCGGCCTCGTCCGTAGTGTGTTGTAAGTGGGTTGGCACTTTTTCAGCACCAGAAAAAGGTACTTCTGCAGCACCTTCAATGCGGCCTCCTTCAGATGCAGGCATGGCGTAGGTGTAGTGTAATGTATGTTAAAAAACAGGGACCATGTCTGAACTCCTTCACATCCATGTGATCACCATCGGTACTTTGGCAGCACTGCAAATGGCAACCACTGGCTGTGAAAGAGTTTGTTTTGACCGCGCCTCATCTCCCACCTGCGTCGTGTAATGTGTGTGTGAGTGTGCATGCATCCTGCAGTGCAGATGACACTCTTAGAGCTCTTGTGGTACTCAATCGGTGCCAACTAAATTGAACTTATTTCAGCTGGGCTGACAAGATGGATTTGTTTTTCACCTCAACTGCATGTAATCTGATTCTTACATCCATATTTTGCATAAGATAATATATAAGTTATATGAATTCCAGAAACCAAGTATACAAGTACAAAGGCACTGCTCTGCTTTTCTAGGTTCCTGGCCCTCCTTGCCATCTACGCCATGTCTGTGAATTGAAGGCTGCCCTCACCCCCCCTCCTCAACTGGCCATGAGACCTGTCTCTGTGACACTCTCTTTTTTCACTTTGTTTTTGGAACCTCCATTGAAAAAAACAACCCCTTTCAATCCTTGGAAACATCAACCTCATTCCCATGGTTTGGAAGGATTTGACATATGGTTTGCGGCACTTTTGGCAGTGCCCACAAACCATATGTCATTTCCCACAAACCATGTGACAAACCATTGTGATTTTTCCAAGAACAATCTCCAAACAAGTAACTTCAAATATGCGAAATTGTGGTTTCTATCTCGCTGCAACCTGGTTGTGTTTTCCAATTATAATTTGCAAACATATTTTTAAGATGCAAATCTGTGGTTTCCACTTAGCTGCAATCCAGTTTTTATGTTAGTTTTTTCAATCACCTTTTTCAACAAGTTATCTGCCAAAAAACAAGCTGGCAAGTCATGGCAAGGGCCTAATTGAGCGGTGGGTCTTGTGAAGGTCGGCGCCGGAGATGGATTGTATGTATCATGTGTATGGGAAGACGAAAGTCTGAAGAGATATCTCTCGTAGTCCCCAAATAGATAGTGGCACGGTTTCCAATACATGTTTACTGCAGTGGGGTTTACTTTTCTATCTATTTGGAGGTCGTTACATATCCCTTACCAATAGTATTCCCATGATTGCATTCTTTACTCTTCAACCTGGGGTCATCGCATCGTCACCCGGGCACGACCTGTCTGGGACTGGCTTAATATGCCGATATACATTCATCCTTGTTTCAACCGCCCCAGCAGATCGGAACGGCTGGTCGTGTTGAGTTGAACGATGAACTCAAGAAATTTCACATAATTTCACCATGATTGGGCTGTTGATCGTCTCTTCTGAGGAGACCTTGACCAAAGCCCTGCTGGAGCTTGGAGCGGAGAATGGCATCCCCAACGACCAGGGGGATCTCCCAGAATCCCGGCGGCAGAGGGACCAACAGGAACACTGTGTGGCTATGTGGGGCCACTACGGAGGGGGTGTGGGGGTCATATGCAACACAAGGCGTGCGTTGTTGGGCCAGGTAGAATGTATGCCGCCCCGATTGACCCCAATGTAGGTAAATATGGCAGTTCCATGGAGTGTTTGGGATATGTATGGCGGATGAGGTGAATACATCCCTCAAACTGATGGGCGGGTATTGGTATGGGAGGTGAATGCATCCAGCCTCCGCAGCAGTCATTGGAAGGACAAACAATCTCCGTTGAAGCTTCTAGGTTCGTGGGATTGTGCTGTCTGTGTCACTGTGTGGTTGATTATTTTTGCCATTTGTTTGTGGCTCTCCGTGTTGTGGTTGATTATGGTTGAATGATGAGGTGTTTGGAAGACAAAAGCCTGATTTGTGTGTGTGAGAGGTTTTCATGGCTTTCGCGGTGTTCGTGGTGCAATCAACGTGCGGAGATGTACTGATTGGACCATGGACCACTGACCATGTGTTTGTCCTTGGAGAGGCGTCACAGTTCCCCGCACTTCAGTTGGTGAACCTGGCGTGTGAGCTATGTGATACGCTGATACGCTATGCGTGGAGAACTCGTCAAACATCACATGCCAAGAGCTGCTCCTGCTGGTGGCACCCGCTGGGTGAGCACCTGCTCGCTTAGCACCCCCACCGCCACCGTCCGTGCGTGCGTGCGTGGGTGTCCAGTCCTGGGCGGCCGTAACAACAGCCGGGCCCAGGAAGATTTGGCTCGTTGCAACGGACACCTCCACCTGCTTCCCATCTTGGCCACCTTCGCGACCTGAGTCCCACTCCCCCACGGACCGGGCGCCGTGGGGGTCCGGATCCGACCGGTCGACAGCATCGACAGCGGGAGGTCCCCTTGCTTCGGACGGGTTTGGCAGGGTCAAAGAACCCTGCAAGTGCGCCATGAATTTGGGGATTCGAAGGCATGAGAGAATCAGCCTTGGTGGTTTTCGGTATCGAACAACATCTGGCATAAGGAGAGTTCTTGAGTTGGGCGAGCCGCTCGCAATGGAACAGGTCAACATGATGTAAGAGAGATCAAGAGAGATTGCCTTTAATTAACCTGTTTCAACTTGCTTTAGCTATAATATGTCGATACCACCGATTTATTCTTCCAATCCGGTGGGTTTGGCTCACCCTGCCCTGAGCTCGCAAAGCACCGACGAAAAGGCCGCGAGCGACTCTGAAGGAGGCTCCGGCGAGCCAGTTGGCCGGCGCCAGTTGGTGCCGTTGTGGGGTGGAGATGGGATCTTGGAGGCCTGAGCGTCAGTTGGAACACAAAAGCGTTATCATGAACAAGGATGAAAGGTGAACCGGTTTAACCCTTTGATTTCTGAAGTCAAGTCATTGTACATGTGACATGTCATGTAAAGAACCATGAACAGTGCATACATTTTTTGGCTTGAATGAGCAATGGCACTTGGACTTGTTCGGAAGGACCCTGTTTACGACGCGACTGGACCTCCAAGACAACCTCATCTCTGACTCTAGCGCCACAAAAACGGACGCCCGGGGCGTCTCGGCTTTCGCGAAGCGAGGCCAAGGAATGCCCCGATTGAGGATGCATTTTGGATGATGTTGGGGGTCGCATGGCCCAGAAGATTCAAAAGCAGTTGGATCGGCTCCGGGGCTTGCATGGCCTTCACCAAAGGATTGGCCTTTTGCCCTCCATCAAACGATCATGAAGGCGACCATAAGTGACTAAGTCCGGATTTCCCTAGCCTTCAAAGACCGCATTAAATTAAATCCTTTAAAAATAACAATGATATGGGGCTGTTCGGCCAAGGATATTAAATCAATGGTGGTTCCAATCCTAGGGTGTTTAGAGGAAAGGATTGTTTTCTCGACCTCTTGCGCCCAAGGGCTCCATTTATACCTCTTATACCTCCACGATTGTTTGAGAGGGCGCTTGCGCGATCACACTTCTGTAGTCTTTTCGATAGAGCAGTTCATTTGTTTGGCAGGTACAGCCTTGATTTCCCTGCTGTTTCAGTACGTGGGTGAGTTGTGACCAAATCAAAGGTGTGGGACAGCAAGCGCAGCAAGACCTGGGGAGGGTGCCCCATGCTTCAGCTTGTCGCGGGCATTTGCCCAAGCTGAAGAGCTTGATTGTGTGGGTGGGGGGACTTAGGTCAAAGTAGCAACGGCAACCGGCCACAGTAGGAAGTACCGGCAGCGGAAGTCGTAGATGATACGGATTCGCAGATCAGTCCAGGAAGAAGATTAGCAGTTGCCACTTGCAGATAAATGAGAACCAACAGAGAGAGAGAGAGAGGCACATTGAAACATATTTAAACACTGCATAAACAAAATGATGAGACAACACGACCCCCCAGAGCACCCCATGTCGTTTTCCTCCGTGCAGCGGCAGAACATGGCAGAACCATGCAGAACCCATATGCTTGGCCCCAAGACCAAAGACGGCTGCATGTGATTCCTCGCCATGGGCACGGGCAGCAGCCGCTGTGTGGGGCGCTGTGGTGCCGAGGTGCCGAATGTGAACCTGGAGCCGGTGCATGAGCTCAGCTTCCCCATGTACGTGGTGAAGGATGGGCGACGGGGGAATCGGACATTGGTGGATTTGAGGGGTGATGATATGTGATGTATGGTGTTTTGGGGAGAGCTTTGGAAGATTTGGTGGGTTTTCCTGGAGTCTCCTGGAGTTCCTCCCCCCGAGCCTCCAGATCATCCGGAACCTGTGCGACAAGACCCTCAGCTCACTTGTTCTCCAACCTCTAGGGCTCCAGGCCATGAATGGCAGATCTCGGACCCCGTAGGGTCGGTCTTTGTGGAAAAACCATATGTGATGAAGAAGAATCAAACAGATCTTCTCTACTTATTATACTAAGTCTCTAAGTGTTCATCCATCCAAGGATATCCAAGAAATTGACTCCTCCAAACTTTCTCAAGTCTTGCTGCGTCATCCTTTTGGCCTTTCTATAGCGGGCCCGTCCGCTCAGTCTAGTGAACATGCTCCAACATCGATCTCTTCGCCGACCGATTTTTTGGAGGGGTCGGATAGTCGGATCATGACCGGTTGGTATATACCTTCCAGTCCCATCCATCTCATCCATCCCTTCGGCCCAGAAGATCGACATAGTCGACCGCTCTCACCGGAGACTCACAGGTCGGTCAATCCACGATCCAAAACGCCGCCGGCCGCTCCGCCGCGGCTCGGCAGGTCCGCGACTTCTTGGCGATGTCCGGCCCGCCGGAGGCGCATTGCCAGATCCGCCAGCGGCTGCACGCCTGGCAGCCAGGCGCACCGCGGCGGAGCGGGGGAGGAAGGAGGCGGTGATGGAGTGAGGACGGGAGTTCTCGGAAAAGGCAGATGGTATGGCTGGGGTAGGAACTCAGAAATCGCTTGGAGAAATCCGAAGAGGGGCAGAAGAGAAGTGGGAAGCCGATGATGTTGAAGGAGATCGGCATGGAATTGCTGGATGTGAGTGTTGTTCGCAAAGAGCAGAATCACCGGAGCCTTCATGGCCGTTTGCACAAGGGTTTTCACCGAATGATCTACTCATCTACACTCAAAAGGTCTACTGTAAACATGTTGACCTCTGGTTGGGTCGTTTATCCACCATGCGGTATGTTCGTGAAGCTCGGCGCCAGGGATGTTCGTGATCTTCGTGTCCCATCAATGGCTCGGCCATGTACATCCGGACCCCGCCGGCGAGCAGATGCAAGTGCTGCGGGATGCCCTAGGCGAAGAACTCGGTGGTTGGAGAGGGAGCCGTTGAACGTGGAAGACGTGAGGTGAGAGGTGGAAGTGGATGGAAGAGGGGGAGGGGGACTGTAAGTTTTAACAAAACCAGGAAGGAAAGTAGAGCACTTGGAAACTCTTGGGGAATGGTGGATTAAATGGGTTCTCCTCATCCATCTTTTCTCCCAAGTGCTGCTATGAAATTCTTCGCATATAGTATATATCCAATTGTCCCAAACCAAAACACGTCTCCACTATACTATTCCCTACCAGGCTATACATATAAACCTATACATATTCTTCCCGCCCTGTCACTGCCCTCCCTCGCAGTCCCTCATGCACCCAACTCCGGCTCCAGCACAGCTAGCTTCTCCCAGCTTATCTCCGCTCCGGGGCCGTCGTCCTCTCCGCCCGGACGTCGAGGCGGACTCATCAACGGATCCCTGCAGATCGAGGTGGACCTGATCTCCGCGCTGCGGCAGCAGGACGTGCGCACCTTCACGGCCGAGACCCGCTCCTCGGACTGAGACTGGTGTCCGGCACGGCTGAAACCAACGAACCGGTCGGGGTGGCAGTGGGGTGGGGGGAGTGAAACCACCTGACACACCGGAGGGGCAGGCGACAGAAGGTGCTGGGGGCGACAGTCAGAGGTGGGTGGGTGGGGGTTGGTGGGGGTGGGTTGCTGGTCGACCAGATGGTTTGGCGAGTGTGTGGCCTATGCAAAGCTGTATTGGTTGCGGTGGCACCTTGTTTTTTTTTTTCCGGCTTTCCAAGTGTGACGAAACCGACTAAACCAACTAAACTGGTTAAACTATGTTAAACTTATGAAGGTGTAGAATGGTATGTATAATATATAGATAAGTAGATATAGTAGATACTCTCAAGTCCTTTACTAAATTCATTCGGCTCCTTGAGCATGGCCAAGAGGAGATGTAGATGGTGCTGGCCAGGGACACCACGTTACCCTGGTGTTTGGATGGAAGAACTCTTCATGCCAAGAATCTGCAGAGCGTTCTGGGGCTCATTTCATTTTAGTGTAGCCAATGTAACTTGGGAATAGGTCAAAGCCTGGAGCCCTTGTCCACCATGTAGCGAACGACCTTCCAGGTAGGTCAACCAAGGGATGGTTTTGACCTATCCCCATGTAGACTGACTGATGTAAGTAGCTCCCTGACCTGCGCTCGGATGTCGCGAGGCCAATGCGTGGCCGACGGCTTCATTTTTCTGGAATGGTTTGCCATTCCACAGGCGTCCAGTCAACCACGAAAACGCAAAAACGGTGTCGGTCAGTGAAGCAAAAAAGGCAGCTCCACGGACTCCACGGGCAGCCCTATCCAAATTTGTTTGCACACACCGCATATGATCAGCAAACCTTTGCTTTGTATTTGCATATTGAGACTTGCAACTGTTGGGTAGATGGCTCATTGGTTTCATATTCTTTGTTGCTAAGTGACCGGTGTGAAAAGAACCACTGAAATGTTCAGGAAGGCCATTGAATTACATATGTCACATGTCTACGTCGAGTATCACGTTCAGAAGGGTTCATGTGAGTTTCTCAAGTCGGTTGGCTTCCGAACATCTGCACGACAGATGCTCCCGTTTTCTTGGCGCGACAGCGAAGTCACATGATGTCCGACCGAAGATCCTGATCGTGCCAGCTCAGCTTCTATTTTGACCCCTACGACTGTAATAATCCATCATCAACCTAACCATCATCACTATCCTCATCGGCGTCATCATCGAAATTCTATGATGAAACTGCCTATGCTATATAACGTTTATGTTGGCATTGCTCATTATATATGTGTGTTCTTTGTTGTTCTATTTGCAGTGGTCCAAACATTTAAGACATATATATACCTATATATATATAGATATATGTATATGCATTGAGTCATTTTGATAAAATGTTCAAAGCATTAATGTAACATTTGTGTATATAAAACTCCTTCTAGGTTGTCAACTGAGCGACCAATCATCTCACAGGTCACCGTGCGAGTCGAGGGTGTTAATGAAGACGTGCGCTCGAAAGCGGCGGCCGCGGTGCAGAGCAGCCTAGTTGGACCTGGGGAGGGGTTCACTGGGAGTGGGTTGTTGGCAGAGGCATGGCGAGGTATATAAATACTCTACCCGATTGCTTAGAGGGAATGGCTTGTTTCGCCTATGAATCCTTCATCAAATCCAAGAACTATGATATACTAGCTGGTCTAGCTGGTGCTCAGGAGGGAGACACTGAGGGTCGCCGGGGGTATCCAGTTTCCCCATGAAAAAGGGAGCCGTTTTGAGCTAAGCCGGGAGTTCCCCTTGCTAGCATAGGTGGGGTTGGTGGTTGTGGCGGGGGATTGATGATTTCGGGAGTTTTTGTGAGAACATGTCTGGGTGAAGAGGTAGTTCATGGTGGTGCCGGAGTTGACATGTCTATGCTCGTCTATGCTTGCACATGCCTGCATGGTGGGGTTGAGTAACTAAAGCAAACAGGGGTGGAAGGCACTCGATGCTGGCGGTTGATAGTGATGCCGGGTGGTCGAACCCCCCAAAAACCACACACGCAAGCAACACTTGTCCAGTTTTCTGCCCCGAGTTTGCACTCTGACTCACGTTCCATGGTTACGTGGATGGAAATGGTTCCAAAAGGAAGAAGACTTTCCTTTACAGTGTTTAGCCATCCACTTCCATGTGCATTGTGTTTGTTCGTTCGTGTCATTCACTTTTCTTCTGGCTTCGGCTTCGATGGTTCCTCTTCGGATAAGACGGGATCGTGGCCGAGGCATCCCAGCCTATGCCCCTTGGATCGCACGAGGACGCACTCGGCCGGCTCAGCTCGGGGGTTAGACCGATCTGTGGTTGTGCAGATCGGTCGAGGTGTCATTGGGCACCATCAGTGACCAGAAGAGATTTAAAACATTCCCATAGCGTCCAGGAAACCAGGTACCTCCGGAGGATGGTCTTGGAGGTGAAAGTACTTCCAGAGAATGGTCTTGGGGGGTCAAAGGACATCCTCAGGATGGTCCTGGACCCTTAGGGATTATGAAATTCCTTTGTCAAAAGTGGCAATAGCGCTTCTATGTATTTGGGACATTTTGGGGCCTCTACTGATATCTCAGGTTGGTATGATTTGGTGGCATCCCATGCAAAACTCTGAAACATGGAAAGTGCAAGGGAAGATCAAGGATGAAAGTGCAAGGGAAGATCAAGGATTTGGCAAGTCCTCAAAGCCTGTAAAGACCCCAAAATAGAAAGAATAGTAGGTCCCCACTAAGAAGGTATTGGAAGACCGTGCCACTATCTGTTTGGGAACACTATAGACCCGAAGCAGATGCCTTGAAGACTCCTGGCCGCCCTGGCTGCTTAAGGTCCTGACCTCAGTAGCCCCCCGCGCTCAGGTGGAGATGTGCAACTTGTTCATCGCTTTGGTGCCCGAGCTGGTGCATACGGCGCTTGGGCCAAAACAGGTCAGCAAACGCTTCGACAACAGACAAGGTCTCAAAAACGAGCGTGGCAGTTGGGCCGGCCCAACATGTTGCCTCCAAAGACGGATGGCCAGCAGTTGGCCCATCCATCGCATGTGCCGTCTAAACCCTCGTGGGTCCACAGTCATCATCGGTCATCATGCATGGATAGTCCGGGCCGGTCCGGGCGGGCCGGGCCACCGCGGGCCGGGCCACTGCGGGTCGGTCCGGGCGGTCCGGGCCGGTCCACTGCGGTCCTTCCATTTGTATAGGTCCTCCACCAAACCACACCTCAAATCCACCGCCCCGGCGTGGCGTAAGGAGACCACCTGACGCAGTGGGCAAAGGAAGAACCTATGCATCAAGATGTACCCACAAACACTTTATAGAGGATGGATCGGCTGGTTTTTAAGTCTGTGCGAATAAACCCTTTTCTAATATTGTCGGTCTACGGAGCTGTACTTGGGGTTTAGTTTTGATTAAACCCTTTTTGGTCGAGTAAGGGCCCTCACTCGATCACAAAGGGTTTACATCCTGATCCAAACCCCAAACCCAAGGGTATGAATATCAATCGACCAAAAAGGGTTTAATCAAAACTAAACCCCCATTCCAGCTCCGTAGACCGACAACAGTAGAAAGGGGTTTATTCGCACAGACTAAAAACACTTTGCCGATGCCTCCTCTAACATGTTTGTGGATACATCTTGATGCATAGATTCTTCCTTTGCCCACTGCGTCAGCTGGCCTCCTGACGGCTGTGCCGGGGAAGGGAGTTCGCACGGGCCGGGCCGGGCCGGGCCGGGCCTCGGGCCGGGCCGGGGTCAACGGTAGACCCGGCTATCCATGTCATGGGACTGCCATAGGACTGCCGATCAATTGACCTGGCACCACCCCTGGCCGTTTCTCGGCAGTCCTATGCCAGTCCCAGACGGGTCGTGTCTGGGATGGGACCGGCCGGTGGGACATGGGAGCAAACCGCAGCCAAGGCCACTGGGCAAAGCTGCCACTCGGGTGCAGCGATCAGGGGCAGTCGGTGCGTGACTGGGTGATGTGTGAATCGTTCGTGTGGTTGGTATCGGTTGGTGTCATAAGACATGGCCCAAGGATTCTTAGGGGGTTATATAAATTAGCATGAAATTGGCAACGTGTGTTTTTGTTTGCAACATATGGAAATTAGGTAGGGTTTTAGATGTTGTTCAACGTGTTTTGTTTAGCCTGTGTGTGTGTGCTTTTTGCCTTTCACTTGGCACGATTCATCACCATGTCACATGACTCATATTTCTCAGGTGGGAAACCACCAGCCAGATCATCGCTGCCCATAAGAGCTATGATGGTCTACCATAGAGTCTTAGAGTAAAGTCTTGAGCTTGGTTATCTATGGTCTTATAGCCTGTTGGCCTTAAACTCGGGCTCTGGGCTTCTTTTATGTTCTTTTAGGTTGTGGTTGTTGGCCTATGTTTTGAGCTGGTCCTCATATGACCTTGGGTCTTGTGCTTGTTCTCGGAGGCCTTTTGGTTCTCCGGCTTTTGGATTTAACCCTATATGGACACCTTTTTGATTTCCCTTGTTTTCCCCCCTTCGTTTCTCAAACAACGCATCTGGAGAAACCCGGCGACCTCTCATATACAGTCTCTAAACATCATTACAATATACATGGTAATATATAAGTTCTATGGGGGGATTCGGTTCGACTTGACAAAACTATTTTGCTTCGATGACCCATCCATTTATGAAACCATTTCATCATAAAACAAACATTGATTGTATGTCATAAATATCTCACTTCTTCAACTATAGTTGAGGTAACTACACCTCCTGGCTGGCTCGCGGCTGGTGTCGCGCTGAGCTTTGGTGCCACTTGCTCTCCAACAAGGCCACTTCGAAACAACATGAAAGGCCACCCGCGGGTGGACCCAACAAACGTGGTTCCGATCGACGGCTCATTCGCCGTCGGCGACATTCGCCGTTTTCCGTTTCAGATCATAGGTCCCCATGGGTCAACATGTGGCAACGATGTGCAGTTGATGTGTGTTCTGTTCTGTTTGTTGAACATCCGATTGAACATGTGTTTGCTGGAGACATGACATGTGTTTGTTGAACATGTGTTTGTTGTGTTTGATGTTCACAAGACGCGTGTTTCTTGGGGACGTTTGTTTGTTTTGCACACCACCGGGAGCCATCGCCGGACCGATGGCCCGGACCTCATCGCAAAACTCCAGGCAGATACCAGTGTCATTGTGGTGCATAGCGCCACCGAGGCAAGTTGGGGGTGCCGGGGGTGCGGCCTGGTGGGGCCAAGTGATCCTTGATGGTCCTGGTTTTCCAGTTTTGGTGGGGTTAGAGAAGCAGAGGGGAGACTCGGAAGTGTACAAACATTAGAATTGTGGGGAGCTGGTTGCATTCTGTTAAGCATGGTGTGAAGTGTGGACATGGACAGCCGAAGTGTGTGAGTGGATGGATGGTAAGCAACAGTGCAGCAACAGGTCATATGACCGGTGAGTGGATGGTGAAGATCAGCACTCTGGTTTCGAGGTGATGGTCGTACTGAAAGCTTTGCCTGATTGGGCAGTACACCCACCAGCAGGCTGGATTTGGACGAGGTCACTTGCACCTTTCATCACGGCCAGTGACTCGGTTAACTCGGCCTAGGCGGAGTTCATGTTCCCGCTGGACTGGCAGCGACTTGGTGGCATAGGAGGGATTGAACCGGTCGTGATGACGGAGATACATCGAGGGTGTTTACTTGAGCTTGCAAACTTTACAGCAATTGCCTGTAAATTTCAGTGGTTGCATGAAATCGCATGCGCATGTAATATTTGCATATAGGTTTATCATGGTCTACCTAAAGAGATGCAAAGATGTAACCCTCAAAGGCCTCAAAGGGGCTGAATCTGCAATCCTTGAGACTACACCACACCTCAGAAAATCCAGCACGACCCTGCACCACCTGTCCCACCCGCACCGCCACAACTCTCTCACCCGCGCCACGACTCGAGGGACAGCACCATTGCCGCGGGGGCCTTCACTGTGGAAGCCGATCGCGAGGTGGTGATGAAGCTGGGGCAGGCGAGGGCACTTGGTGGTTCGAAGGATCAGGAAGGATCAGGAAGGATCAGGAAGGATCGTTGAATCGGTTTTTGTGTTGTTCCTTTTTACTTGATGATCTTTATGGTTCTTGATGGCCCGCGTTTGTTTGTGAGAGTTTCCGAGTAGTCCAGTGACTCCAGTGTGGTTTGTTCTTCGCCCCATAGGGGCGAAGTCCCACCGCGGAGTCCGACGGAGTCCCTTCACCCCGCCGGACCACCCCCAGGTGGCGCTGGATAGCAAGATCGAAAGCCTCTCCACTTCAGGACCGACGAACGTGGACCGTGGCGGGGACCGTGGATTCGCGGGGTGGAGCGCCCGGACCGTGGCCGCGCAGACCGTGGCGGGTGGGGGTGGGGCGTTGACGTGGGGCGTGACAGGCCGCGTGACACGGTCGCGTGGGCGCTGGAGGTTCGTCGTTTGTGCACAGGGAGAATGAAGGAGAGAAGGTGACAGGGGGTGACACGGTGAGTATTAGAGACTGGGTGTCTTCTAGATTCTAGCAGGCATGTTGGAAAAGGTGTTTTATAGGATGTTGTTAGGACGAACTTCCATGGACGACATGGGTGGGAAGATCTGTGATGCAGCCGGTCGAATCCATTCCTTTTGGCTAAGACCGGGCCAGATCCACCCCAATTCGCGCAGGTTGTGTGTTTGGGTGGGCCCACTGAGCTGTCCAAAGCGTAAACGGGTGGAATCTGGACAAGGAGATTGGGTTTTGATGTTTTGATTTGATGTTTCCCTCCTGTCCCGCATCCGAAGTCGAGTCAGTGGGCCAGGGGTGGAGGCCAGGGCGAGTCTAACTACCTTGTGGCGGGAACCCTTAGGACCTTAAGGAACCCTTTTCAATGTGATTTTTCTCCCAAGCGGTCATGTCATTTCCATGCATTTCCCCTAGGACATGGGTGATTAGGAGTCCGACATCGGGAGAGAGATGGGGAACCCACGTCCGTCTCTTGGACAGGACATCCAAGGACACAACGCAACTCCCCGAGTTCGCAACTCGCGCCAGGGCCCAATTTGGACCTCTACCGCTTTTACCTGGCTTGTCGCCCCCGAATGCTGCTTGACCTCTACCAGCTTAGCTGGTAGGTGTTTTCCACCGGCGACCTTGGATACAGTAGATGTTTCAGTGTGTTTCCCACGTGCCACCACAATGGACCAACAGGACGATCAGGATGTACGTGGAAAAGGTAGGCAAGCCTACCACCTGAAAAGCCTTGGAATCACAAGCAAGTGGGAGCTTGTAATCATGCAGTTTGAGCTCCAGGTTCAAACCATGAGACCCCACTAGTTTGATGGGCAAACTGACCTACGGTTTGTAACCTGTAGACATTTTGCGGTCAAAAGTCTCTCCGAACATGCTTGAGGGCAGAAAATGACAGAAAGACTTTTCCTGTTTAGTTTATACTACCCGCCACTGGCAACTACTCATGTCATTGGTTTCCAACAAGTCCTAAGTCATTGGTCCTCAGTATGGCCCGTTTCGTCCACTTGGCCTATCTTCTTTACGCGGACTTTTGTTTCGCCATCACAGGCTGGGGCAAGAGCCCATCGCCTGGGACTTGTACAACTTCCTGCGCTGCTTCCGCTTTGGCACCTTTCAGCATGCGGTCCACGATCGCCACAACATGAGCCTCGACTGGAAAGAGCAGGGAGGGCAGTTTGCAGGAATGCTTGGCTTGATGATGCTTGAGCTCCTCCTTCTCTGGTTCGTTGAGGATCGGTGGCTCAACAAGTGCTTTTCCAGTTGGGCCCTAGATGTTTGCCAGGGATCTGACTCGGAGAAATGGCCCTGGCTTCAATCTGTTATATATTTTTTGATGACTGGAGTTCGCTTCTGTTGAAACAACTTTCAACCTGTCGGGTTTGTCATTTGCATGTCCCTGAGGAACGGGCTGTTGTGTGCATTGTTCTCGGAAGATGTGCAACTTGGAGTGAGAGTGGTGGCCACTTATCGATTACATTCGATTACTATAATTAGTTAGGCAGCGGCTAGCCGCGGGGAATTTCGGGGTGCCGCGAGCCTTTTGACGAAGCTATTCAATCTGCAGTCCAAATCAGAAGAGGTTGCTGTTTGTTGCCCTTCATCAATGCTTGGCCAGTGGCGCGTTGACTAGAATCAGTTGGTGGATCACCTGAGCAGACAGATGTTTAGGGTTTCAGGGCGTAAAGCCCAGCACTTGGTGGACTGGCGTGGCCACCCCCTAGGTGTGTTTTGGTCACACCCAACTGCTGATATGGTGCATATTAGCTGTGAGATGCTGTGAGGTAACTACTCTTGATTGATGTTTCAACCCCCAAGCCTGAAGAACTTTGACAATCCATGTTTGGGGGTCTATGAATCAGATTCTGCATTAAGTGTCCTTACAGTTATTATTCATCAACGTCTTACATGACGTCAATCCTTTGAATGCAGTCAATCCTTTGAATGTTGCCCCCAACCATGTTTGGATATAGCGACGTTATGGACACCTCCGAACTGCATTTTGCCCCTCAGCTCCTTCGTGGTTTGCCTCTCAAACCACGGTGATTCGCCCAGGCAAATGCTGCGGCTGCTCTTGCAACACCGGGCCGATGTGAATTCCCGCCACCCGGCAGACACGGGTTGCCCGGGCTTCCCAGCGAAGTCGGAGTCGGGTGGAGGTGCGATGCCGTGTGCCTTTTTGGTAGGCTTTTTGAGGATAACATGCATGCCAAACCCACCAATGTAATATAATGTAATAGATTTAACCAAGTGTTTGAGGGTTGCAATGGGTTTTTCATGGTTTCTCGAAATCGAGTCGAGGCATCCGGGGTTTGACGTCCCTGGGCTATTTCGATTCCCAGACCTTGCTCATGGCGGCCACTGGGCGGAGATGGGTGCGGATTGGCCAGCAGAGTGGGAGCTTGGCAAGAAAACACGGCTAGGCCTAGGGGTTGCCCCCACGACCATGTATTAAAACCATCAAAAAAGAACATGGTTTTGCACCAGGGGTGGTGCCCATGGTAGGGCCTATAGGGGTTGTACTTTGTTGGAACCCGAGCACCTGAGGTGAAGATCGTGTCATTGCCCTTATGAAACCAGTCTTGTCTTGTCTCTTAATCGCGGCATGCCCAGCTTGATGGGAGGCTTTCGGTAGTTGTCCCTGACCGGGTTCAAGTCTTGGAGATTGCAACAGTTCGCACCTCCATCTGGACCTTCATGTCCGGGTGTCCGTAGTACAGAGCATTCCAGCCAGGAGACCCTGAGGCCCTGCGGACGCCCTGCGCCTTCCCCGTCCTCTCCGCACGCGATTCTCACGCCCTGAGGCGGTGAAGTCGAATCAGGGCGTGCTGGTGATGAAGACCTTGCTCGACCTCCGAGCGGATCCTGACCTCATCGGCGACCGAGGTCGACACCGGACCGGTCTGACCAGACGTGGGGTGCTGGGTGTAGGAGCCGCTGGCGCGCGTGCCTGCGGCTCCTTGGTTGACCGCTTCGATGGACCGAAGATGGATGCGGAGCATGGCGTCCCAGCCGAAACTGCGGGTGCACCAACGATGCTCGTGATGTAAAGTGAACGAAGCAGGTTCGAGTGACACTCTAGACATGTCCATAGATGCAATTTCTCCAGAGTTGGCAGGAGAGAACGCTGCCTACTTGGCACGCTCGCCGTTGCATGTGAAGATGTTGCTGGAAGCCCGGGCCGACCTGCATGCCGTCGGCGGCCCCGGCTTCGGGCTGACACCGCTCAATGGCGTGACTTGGAAGCAGCCAGTGGCGACCATGTGGCGCTTCATAGAGAGTTTCTTTCCATCTTCTTTTTTGGACCGAAACAATGCCGAGACGGCGATTCGGGCACGGTCTTGGACTCTGGAACTCTCTTGAACTTGAAATTTCGGATCACCCCAGACTAACTTCGGAATTGGAGTGAGGACACTTGTTAGAAGCACAGCTCTCCTCATCCACACCGGAACCCCCAGGAGTGCCGCTTCCATCGGGTTTTCCGCTGGCTCCGGACGGTGGTGGCGTCGCGGCCGCACTGAGGTGGCGTCGCACGCGGACACCGAAACGGTGCTGGCCATGCTGGAGGCCCAGTGCGATCCCAATCCACCGCTGGTGACCTGGAGGAAGAAGGAGCTGGTTTCAGAGGTGAGAAGGATATGGCGCGGATCTACCCCAAAGATGTCTTAGACAGATGGGGGTCCTATGTGGTCCTAAAACCACCAAAATTGGGGTTTGTGCCATCTACTTGGATATCATATGACATAGAGAGAGAGGGAGGGTGAGGAGGAACTTTTTGGATTCTGATGTGATATTGTTGTTCACTCTTTTGAAGTGGTCATCTTGCTTTGCAGAGAATATAGAACAGATGTATGCTTGAGCATGGGGTTTCCGTGCCACGCATCGACCTGCATGTTGTTGTTGGTCTTGTGTGGTGGATTCCGAGAAAAAAAACATCCAAGGCAGGCTTCGGCTTCTCTCCCTTGCACGGTGCGGTGCTCTTCGCTCGGAGGAACAGGCGCGAAGAAGAAGAGACAATCAAGCAAGCCGCAACACGCGGTAAAGAACAATCCTACTTCATCATAACACCCGTGATGTTCATCGACGTGCGCCCGCGCTTTTCTGACCCTGTCAGATAGGGGCACCCAAAATCCATGAACATAAGAAGGGAAAGCTGACGAGCTGCAGCAGTCCTTGGGCCGACTTGGCCTCACATGGTTTTGAGCTTTGCTGAGTTGGGGAGGCATGCGCAGCAGTCGGCGGAGCTCTTGGTGAAGCAAAGGGCCGACGTGAACTGCCGAGCAGAACCCAAAGGAGCTGATCCACGGTGGCTGCCGTGGGAGAGGCCAACAGGGCCCTTGTTTGCCCCCACTCAACAAGAACAGGTTACTCGGGGGAAACAGTTGGTTGGTTGAATGGCAGTTCTGAGAAATCCTTCAGTCAGAATGTCCGGAGTTGGACACAAGATGTTTTTTTCCAGCGATGTTGGCTGCGGGGGCAGTGAGTTGAGGATGCACCTGAGCCCATGCGGTCCATGGGCATCTGGACCATGACAATTGATGCCCCAGCTGTTGGTTTCTTGGGTTGGTTAGAGCGTGAGAGCATGTAAGAGCTATGGTCAACTAGGGCGAGTTGTTCAGGAATACCGAATGCCGGGAATACGTTGAACCAAGTTGAACCCCCCCAAAGTGGTCCTTCACACCCCACATCACTGTGCAGTCTCCCTTTGGCCACACCTACCAGACCTACCAGTGGTCCGATGCTCCGATAGTGTGTTTTTTGTTTGCGCGGAAGACCTAACTTTCATTGCAGGACGATGCTACTTGCTTTGTCGGGCTGCAGGTGTCCACTGCGCCACTGGGACGACGGTCACGACGACGCCGAAGCCCATACGTCGTGAAGCGAGGTTCGTTCGGTCATCGTTTCTGAGATCCACACACGAAGTGGCTCCTCAAAGTGAAAAGATACGCCTATATAGAAAGAATATTGAAAGGGCTTCACCCCCAAAACACAAAACTGCAAGACTGTGGTAAGGCGATGAAAAGCCCGCCTGATGAATAGAAGCTTCCCATTGGGATTGAAAGACCCATATCATGGAGGTGTTGTATGGTTTTGTTAATTTAGAGTCTACATGATGGATGTTTTTGTTGGAGGAAGTTGGGGGAGCACCAACGGATGGCTAAAGGTCTCCAGGTCCCCATGAGGATCCCCCGTATGCACCATGCGCCGTTGGACACGCGTTTTTGTCACATGAGCTACGAAGATCGAAGCTCAGGCGATGATGGGCTTCTCGGCCAGCTCCATGATGATGCGCTATTTCGCCTCCCTGCCCGGTATCACGCCCTTGGGCGCCTGGGGCGGTGTAAATAGTGAGGGCCTCGACAGGGCAGGCTTGTAGCGGAGATCCTTTTCCGGGCAGTCCAACCCGCCTGGAAGAAGGGAATTGGACCGGTCTATAATTACCCACATCGGTTGGAGACCTCCCTATTACAAATATGACAATGCGCACCCACATGAGGCAAGCTTGTTGTGATGTACTAGAGCCCAAAGTGTGCCAGAAAAGGCACTCAACCGGCATGAGAATCGATAGTGAGAGACTCCATGGGACTGGAATTTTTGCCTATATGGACCCCCTTTGGAACCACGCCAATCCACCCCAGCTGGTGGGTAAATATGTTGTGTTGTGTTTGGGATATAGCCGGAACTGGCCGTGCATTTGGGGGGAAACTATATCAAGCACTCTTGGATTCCCCACATTCATACACCCTCGGAAAGCCCAATAACGACCATCAGGGTTGGTCAGAAGATGTCGATGGTTGCTTTCGCTTCCGGTGATGTTGGGTGACTCCCCTGAAACTGGTGAAACACGATCAAATAGGTCTATATTTCCCAGACACTCCATGGGACTGCCATAGATGCCTACATTGACCCCCGAAACCACAATTGATCGGCAGTCCTGCAGTCCCAGACTGGTCGTGTCTTGTCGTGTGTTTGTCGCGGTTCCAAGTTGAACCGTCTAACACCGTTCGGGGGATCACCGTTGTGCCGAAGCACGGACCGACCGACCTGGCGACCAGGACCGACCACACCGGAGGTTCGGTGTGACGACGCTGCACCGAACGAAGCTCGCACGACGAAGCTCGCACCGACGGACCAAGGCATGTCGGCGTTGATTGGGGACCTGTCGTTGACGAAGCTCCTTCTAGAGTCCAGCGCAGTGCCTTGGAGGATCTTTCTAGGAGGGACTGAGAAAGGAGCGAGGAGGTCGGGTGTGAGTGGGAGGTGAAATTTCCAAAAAATTGAGTTTGAGCAAGTCTGGGTAGAAACCACTGGCTCAGCAACAGCAGGTTGATACGAATGTTGTGTGCATCGCTTAAACTGGTGGAGGACTACAATCATACAATCATGGTTAAGAAGCAACTATCATGGGACGAACTAACGATAGAGCGAGAGAGAGAAGGGGAGAGAGAGAGAGAGAGAGCAGGAGAGGTTTACCGAAAGAGAGGTGGAGAGATATGGAGAGATGGCACGATATGGCACGGGCCAAACAAATCTTAAAAATAATTCCCAGACACTCCATGTATGCCATATATGCCTACATTGACCCCCTGGCACCACCCCAACTGATCAGCAAATATACCATACATGGAGTGTTTGGGGATGTCTGGGGTTCAGAAAGATACACTCCCTGGAATCCTCCTGGTTACGACCGAGACCGAAAGACTCGGATGACGGTCACAATCGACCAGTCTCAGGTGGTGAAGCTCACTCCGCGTGACGAGAGCCCAGGGAGTGGAAGGTTGCTTCATTTTCTGACCGTTTCCTATTGGAACCTCCCATCGTGCCCGCTCCCGGCCCACATCCTCAGAAGGTAGTTCTACGGACCAAGATACTGTTAGACTCCCCAACCACCCACCCCAACCAGGCCCTGGTTGAAAACCGAACCGACTCACCGGAAGGTGGGACAGGAGAACCCGACCGGACACCGTCACCGACCGTCCTGAGGAGTTGATTGCCAACGACCGCGGGGACACCCCGGAGGACTTGGCCAAGACCATGCGCCACGAGGCTCGGGTTCCCCACCCGGTTCGGCCGAGCGGAGGGGAGAACCGGTTCGGCCGGACCAGAGGTGCCGGGGTGGAGACCCAGGTTGCGGAACGCTCGTACCGTGTGGTCTTTTGATGTCTTTTGTAGTGTGGCTTTTGGAGGCCCTATGATTGAGACGTGATCCCTTGTTTTTTTTCTCAATCAGGGCGTGAGATGTTCAAACGACGTGCCGCGTGAAAAAAGATAACAATGAACGAAACTGTTTTCACCATGTTAAATCACATGTAATTGTTTCATCTTGATTCTTTGTCGTTTCGATTGTTGTTTTTTCAGCTACTGACTTGGCGGAAGGTTCACCGGACCGGCCCTATCACATGTGCATGCTCCCATAGTCAGACAGGAGCAGGCCCTTGGCATAAATACCTGCATTCACATCAAGACTAGTGTCTAGTGCTCGGCATGGAATTCCCTTTTTTTTTGGCGGGTGGTTTCCCTTTTTTCCAATTGAACATGATTGAACTTTGCACCAAAAAACTATGAAGCACATTGGAGCTTGCCCTCCTAGGGACGGTTGCTATCTTACGACACGTAGCAGGGGTGAGTCATGCAGTGGTGCGCAACGTCTACTTGTTTTGATGCCTTTTTGAATCCAATTGTTGCTCCGGCTGACGTCACCCTTTCATACTCGGTTTCAGTTTGGGTTCTGGTTCAACAGCACCCAACTTGATGGGACTCGTCTTTTTCTGAGTGCACCATCGGTTGACCTAGTTCTCCCACCACCTGGTGACGTGGTTTGGGTGGCATAGACCTACCTCATGTCCCCTTTCAACGCTTTGTCTCGGGAGGCCTTGTTGCCCAGCTTGGTGCCCACCTTCTCCACTTGAGACTTTCTCACACGGCGGTGGGTCAAAACGGACAAGACAAATCGTGAGAACCAGAAGTCGAAAGACGGATTGACAAGTTGAGTAACTGTATACATTTTTATCCTCCACACCTGTTTGCTTAAAAAATAAACATGTGGTTCCCTTATAAAATGGTCTATTCTATAAACACTAAATGTGGTACCGTAATAATCAAGGTTTGGGGCAATATGAGATAGGTCATTCGATTAGAAAAGACAGGTCTTCAGAGGAGGGAAGCCACCAGGCTTCTTGGATCAAAGCCAAACTCATTTAAAAAAAGCCGTTGGGTGCTTGGCCTTTAGGCTGCTGGCGGAGTATCGTATCGTTTGACGAAACCTGGGGCTAGCTGCTGAACGCTTAAGACTATGAGGTTAGTCTGAAACAGCGCTGCACATTCTACCAACGGCTGTGATGTGTGCAGACAAAAAGGATGTAGGTCAATGCATCTTACATGTCTCTAAAGTCGTTTTACTAGAAGATAAACACTTTTTGGGGAGGAATGTACCTTCCAGCAATGTCTTTTCAGATCAGACCTCAACTCATTTTATAAAGACAACCAATGGTGGCCCGCATTCTGGCAATAAAATAGCGATGTCGTTTAAGGCGTTTTGTAAATAAAAGCGCGTTCATTCTATAAACAAAACGCCTTGCTGGATCACACCTATTCATTTTATAGCCACAATTCCTGCATCAAATGAAACATGCTACCCCCAAGGCACAAGTAAGGGTAAGGGGGGTACGTGTATAGATATATATATATAGTAAGATAATGCAAGGTAACATGTCAAAAAGAAAATCAGTTTTTATGTGGCGTCATGGTACTTGGCAATGGGATCATTTGGGCGCTGTCAAGATTCGAGATGCAGTAGTGTTCCTTGTCCCTATATTTCCATGTTCAAGATTGTCTTTTTTGGCTTAGCGAGACATCACCACAGGAACACAAGAGGTCATGTAAACATGACGATATGAGATGTGGGTCGAGATGTGATACTAATGCCGTCTCAAGCAGGAGACAGCGCTTCTCAATCATATTTATATATATATATATGATTGAATTTAGTTGTATTTATTACATATTGTTTACAATACTTAAGCCGAACAATGTGTTTGGGTTTTGACCCGCTTCCACATACCCAAAGGATCTGTGGGATGGATTAACAATGACCAAAGCCAGGGCCAGGGCTGTCAAGGTAGATTGAAATCCATCCACCACTGGATCCTGTGGGATAAGGGGTCAGGGGTCAGAGGAAGAGATCCTGAAGAAGAACGTCTCAAGGGTTTCAAGCGTGACATCTAGAAACTGTTGTGACCCGTGTTGGGATCGTCGTGGTTTCGATGGGCGATTTGGGATCTCCTCACCTGAAAATGACAGCGGCTGGAACTTCTCAATGAGAAGTTGCAGACTTGTTGCTGTCATAGCTGTCATAGCTCATGTTTTTGCTGGTGTGGCAGGCTGGGTAGCTTTAAGTGTGGGTTTGAGAGGATCTCCAAGATGATTTGCCACCACATTCAACCTCCAAACTGTCCAACCACAAGACCCACCAGCATTCTCTTCAGTTGCCCTGTGCCAAAGCGCAGACCTGGGCCCGCCGCTTTTTTTGATGAGCGCGCGGTTCCGTCGTCGAAGATTGTTGAAAAGCGTGTTGCAAGCTTCGGGGATTTGGTCTACATGATACACTTCCACACCTCCCACAAGAGGAAGATGGACCCCCCCCAAAGCAACTGTTTTGCAGCAAGATGTTTCAAAGAGCCATTTCCTGTGTCCAAAGCTCCTTCGTGAAGATGTCTTCTTTTGCTTGAGGATGAATCCTTGGAGTATGGTGCCGGGAGTTCGGGCATCGGGGCTATATATTGGTTTGTTGCTTGCAGACGGGTCTGGAAGGCAAGATGGTGCCAAACATGTGCAAAATGGATGACACAATTCGAGTTTGCACCCAGGACTTGGTGAGACACACCAAATTCATCCTGGCTTCCTTTTTGCACCCTTCTTGGAGCCCTTTGCTTCGCCCACCTCGTGTCATCAGCGAAACGGCCTCCGACCATGCCGCCCAGGTCACGTCACAGGCACCGGCGACCCGGAGAGCGATGCGCGCGACGGAGAGAGCGGCGGTCAGAGGCGTTCAGATGACTCTATGGTTCATGAATCAGTTGCGGGAAGCATGTGGAATTGCCTCAATTTGTATCTCAAATATTCTCAAATAATTGACGTTTTATTTTTTTTGCCTGTTGTAGGGTGATAATCTGATAGGTATCCAACACCATGGATGCTTTTAAGTTCTTTGAGAGCCAAAGACGCCAAAGCAAATTCAATTCCAAGTGCCTGAACATCTGAACTATTCTGAATGAAGGAGGTTCCAAAATGAGATGATGAGAACGTGGTACATCCTTAAACCTATATACAAGTAAACTTAGCTCGAATAGCTGTGAAGTCCTTAAAGCTTAGCTGCTTCGGTGGATTTGAGACCACGCACCCACGCCTTCGTCTTCACCCGCCAAGACGAGCTTTGAACCATCGCCGGATCGTTGTCTTCCACATGCAACATGGCGGGGCAGTCCCCGCTCGAGTCTCCATCGGACGGGCCAAACGGACAGTTCGTTCCGATCAGCGACGGCCAGGGCCAAGCCGATCGGATCCCGATCGTCCTCCACGCCGATCCACGCTCCGATCGGAGAGAGGCCTGGGTGGATGCTGAAGCCCTGAACGACGCCCTGGGCAGCGCTTGGCTGGTCCGGGAAGCTAAGCCGTGCCAAACGCGTACCGGGCTCGGATGGGCTCGGTCGAAGCCCCGAGGCTGTCGATCGAGCAGGTGGAGGTTTTTACTACCAGGAGTCACATGGAGTTGGATGGTGTTTAGCCCCATCCAGTGAGTGGATGTTCTGGGCACCCCTTTCCTCCAGTAGGCACCCCCTGATTGATGGCATCGCATGATCTAAAACAGGATGAAACACTAGGATGCAGCCTATCTTGGGAGAAGATAAAAGGTCCATGAACATCCTGCGCTTTGCATCGTCGCCTGGAGGATGGAAGAACCTCACATGGTTGGCTTGCTGCCGAGGTGCTCTTGGCTGTGACCGGCACCGTCTTCGGTGTGGGCCTTCTGCATCTTGGAGCTTTACGGACGAGTCGAAACGGAGCAACGGAGGGGAGTCCAGCAATGAGCTTAGGGCATTCATGCATAAGACCGCAGGGTAGGACCGCAGGTGTAGGCGGCGCGTCTTTCTTTTGCATCAAGATCATTAAGTTGGCATGATGGAATTTGAAGGGCTTCTGCTCCTTTGCCTCGAAACATTCCGATATGATCCGCTTCTTGCAGAAGCCGGCTGGGATGGTGGGCCTATTCAGTCATTTTGTTTCCACTTGAGCCGCCGAAGTGTGACCCTCTCATATTGTCCGTGTTTGCACTGTGGGTGAAACAAACCTTTGAGATATACCATTGGTGGAGGAGACTCATGGTCAGAACCGTTTTGCAAGTCATGCTAGCTTAACAGGGTCATGATCCTACAGGTGAGTGGGACCCTTCAATCAACACGGCCTTTCCGGCACATGCTATGGACATTTGGGATGCCAGGCCGTACCAAGGGTGGTGTATGTTATGTCCATCAACCGTGGAACGTTTCTTACGTGATGCAAACACCCCAGGTATGTCCTTGATGTTGAGCTGGTCTCGGCCTTGCCGCGCCCTTACAGGAAGACTAGCAGCCATTGACAGTAAATCTAATGGAAGTTTAGGGTTCAGAACCTTGTTGAATAGAATGTTTGGTTTGTGAGGTAGCTTATATATGGTAGCTTCTTCCTGAGCATGCTTTGTCGTACAGAAGGGCAGTGCACACATTCACAGCAACACGTCCTTACCTTCTCGTTTGTACTAAGGTTCATGTAATCCATTGAATCAACCTTCCGCATTGACTATGACTAAGGTTACTGGTGGCCTTTTGCGTTTGTATGGTGCTTGTCTTCTTCTTTTTCTGCCTTTGCGGGTGAGCCAACGCCCTGTTTGACCGTTCTCCGCCGGCCCCGGGATCGAGCTCCTGAGCTGCTGAGCTTCAGTCAGAGGGCAGGTTTGGAGGCCGACGCGATGCTTGAACCCACGGCAGTTTCAGCTCCAAAGGGTCATATTTCTTTGTTGGATATGTTCACCTCCCCCCACAAAGGACTCCAAAAAGCACTCCAAGGTGAACCTGAAGAAGCAAGAACCCCAACAAACAATGAGAGTCAGCACTCAGCACCACCCAGTTCAAAGATTGACCTCGGAATTGCGGGGGGGTTCGATCAACCGACCCGACCCCCTGAAAACGCGTCCTTCGTGGCGCGCGGTCGTGCGCGTCCTGATGGCGCGGCCAGATGGTCCTTTGGCCCCTGGGAGCTCACGATCTTGACCGTCTTCCTGAGCTACTCCATCGAGCCAGCCTTTCACATCGGTGGGGATCACGGACTCCGCCTGACTCCGCGAAGATCGACTGGTCGTGTGATGAGCATCCGGTGTGTACGGGGCGGTTGAGCTTTTGACCTGTAGGCGTTCAGTGCTGGGGCGGGGGTGTTTGGGAAATTCCTGGGTGTTGAGTCTGTTGAGTGTCTTGTTTTGTGGGCTGCAGTGTGGGTGATGACGAGATCCAACGGGGCAGGAGATGTTGCCGCTTCGGGGGGAAGGCTCTTTCATGTCTAGATCCGGTTTGCACAGTACAGCCAGGAGACTAGTGGACGTTTCAAAGAGTCGACTTTGGGCATGTGAGAACTCTTCAAAAGTCAATGATATTTAAAAGACTCGGTGGAACACAGTGCATTGAATATAGTCTGACACATTCAGGTCCATTCAGTTTAAATACTGCATCTGTATATGTTGGCCAAGAGCTGCTCAGACCCGTTAGACTCTACTTTCTGGGGAGCTATAGAAAGGACTCAAGTGCTCGTTTTTGATTCCGTTTTCCTGGTGACGGCAAACTATATAACTAGCCCATGTCCAGGAAACAAACTTGCTAAACTTGCTGCAGTACTTGCTGCTGGCCTGTAGC